CACTTTGTATCATTCTTATCTTAAAACTGAAATCAAAGATACATACAAAAGCATCACATCCAACAAACTATTTAATTGACTTGTTTAATTAAGTATCAACTTGTTTTCAAATAACGAATCTTTTGAATAATGTGTAACTTTAGATATTACGAGCTCATCGCTTTTGTATGTAGTATCATTGATCGGTTTTGGAACATCTCTATAAAGACTCTTTAATTTAAAGTTTGTGAAATTCTATATTTGAAGTTTAGAGATATTTTTTTCTAAAAGCAAAATTTCAAATTTATTTTCAAAATTATTTGTACTTTATACTATAGTCTTTATATTTGTCATAACTAACTCAAATTTATAAGAATTTTATAAATAATTAATAAAATGTAACTCTAAAATATAAAATTATAAATAGAAAAACATAATTAAATATTAAAATATAAACAAAAATTGTAATTAAACACACTCTACAATAAATATATTTAACCAAAACAAATTACAGTGAAACAACGAACAGTACGAAGGTTAATAAAAAGGAGAACACCTGTTAGGAACATGATTTGCAGAAATGTATGGACTCGAGAAGCAGTGGGATCATGATAATCACCTGTTTAAACCCTTTAACAAACAAAATACCACATTATATTTTGTAATTATATTGTTCGATAATTCTAGTTTTAAAATACTTTAAATCTTATTTTATGTTTTAAAAAATTTTACCTGTAAAATTTAAATTTATAATAATAATTTTGAAATATGTATGAGATAAGAAATTTATAGGATTAAATTGATAACGACAAAATATTTAAGAATCATAAATGTAATATGTAATTGTAGGGACCAAAATGTGAATAAAAATATAAAACTTTAAATTTGAAGTTTTAACTAATGACACTCTATAGTTGAAGTTTCACTACTCAAAACTTCAAATTTCAAGTTTTAGAGTTTTTTGGATAATAAAAAACTCAATATTTGAAGTTAAAGTTTCTTTTGGAAATAAAAACACACTATTTTAGAGTACGAAAAACTCTAAATTTAAAGTTTAAAGATGTCCTTCTCCAAAAACAAAATTCAAAACTCAACTTCAAAACTATTTGTGTTGTACATTATGGTTCTTATATTTGTTATAACTAATTTAAATTCATAAAACTTTTCTAAATAACTTAGACATATATAAAAATAGTACAAAAATATTAATTAATATAATGTTACACTAAAATATAAAATTATAAATAGAAATTTATAATTAAATCTTAAACTACAAACAAAGCCACATTAAATTTTATAATATTGTTATTGTCTAGTTCTAATTTTAAAATATTTTAAATCTTATCTTAATGTTTTAAAAAAAAAAAAATTACGTGTAAAATTTAAATTTATAAAATAAATTTTGAAATATTTATGAGATAAATTTTTTTAAGGATTAACTGATAAACAACAAGATATCTAGAAAATCATAAATATGATTATAATTGTAAGGACGAAAATTTAAATAAAAATTTGAAACTTCAAATTTGAATTTTTGAATTATGACACCTAATATTTGAAGTTTCACTAATTAAAATTTTAAATTTTAAATTTTAGAATTATTTTTTTGAAAATAAAATTTCATATTTAAAGTTATTAGAATATTTTTTCTCATAAATCCATCGAAATTCATTCCTCGATCGTCCACCAAGCTATCCCCCCCCCCCCCCCCAAGCTAGACATATATAAAAATAGTACAAAAACATTAATTAATATAATGTTACACTAAAATATAAAATTATAAATAGAAATTTATAATTAAATCTTAAACTACAAGCAAAGCCACATTAAATTTTATAATATTGTTATTGTCTAGTTCTAATTTTAAAATATTTTAAATCTTTTCTTAATGTTTTTTTAAAAAAAATTTACGTGTAAAAATTTAAATTTATAAAATAAATTTTGAAATATTTATGAGATAAATTTTTTTAAGGATTAACTGATAAACAACAAGATATCTAGAAAATCATAAATATGATTATAATTGTAAGGACGAAAATTTAAATAAAAATTTGAAACTTCAAATTTGAAGTTTTGAATTATGACACCTAATATTTGAAGTTTCACTAATTAAAATTTTAAATTTTAAATTTTAGAATTATGTTTTGGAAAATAAAATTTCATATTTAAAGTTATTAGAATATTTTTTTCTCATAAATCCATCGAAATTCATTCCTCGATCGTCCACCAAGCTATCCCTCTCCCCCCCCCCAAGCTAGACATATATAAATATAGTACAAAAACATTAATTAATATAATGTTACACTAAAATACAAAATTATAAATAGAAATTTATAATTAAATCTTAAACTACAAGCAAAGCCACATTAAATTTTATAATATTGTTATTGTCTAGTTCTAATTTTAAAATATTTTAAATCTTATCTTAATGTTTTTTTTTTAAAAAATACGTGTAAAACTTAAATTTATAAAATCAATTGAAATATTTATGAGATAAATTTTTTTAAGGATTAACTGATAAACAACAAGATATTTAGAAAATCATAAATATGATATATAAATGTAAGGACGATAATTTAAATAAAAATTTGAAACTTCAAATTTGAAATTTTGAATCATAGCACCTAATATTTGAAGTTTCACTAATTAAAATTTTAAATTTTAGAATTCTTTTTGGGAAAATAAAAAATTTCATATTTAAAATTATTAGAATATTTTTCTCATAAATCCATCAAAATTTATTCCTCGATCGTCCACCAAGCTATCCCTCCCCCATTATAACCTCCTCATAAATCTATCGAAATTCATTTCTCGATCGTCCACCAAGCTATCCCTCAATTGTCGCGAAGTCTATGGTATACGCGAAAGAGAAAGCATAGCATGATGGGCCATCTGACTATGAACTCAAATATGCTACAACAACAAGGTTTCAATGCACTCATCTCGTATAACATATCATTATATTCTTCTCATGTGTTCCCCATAATCTTGGCAATAAAGTTGGGTTGCGTTGATGGTATCTAAGAGTATCTCTAATCCAACTTCATAATTTACTAAAAAATAAAGTAGAAAATGGAGGGATGAACAAATAAAAAAAAGATTATTTCATAAATAGAATAATTAATTTTCGTTTGTTTATTACTCTATTTTGTAGTAAATTATGGAGTGAGGTTGGAGATATTCTAAGAACGAGTTAACTTCTTAATCAAATTAAAACTAAGCTAGAACAATTTACAAGATTGCATGTAGTGTTACACCGAGACTTGTAAATACTGGTTTAAACTTGGTGTGTCACTTATAATGGTCGTATGAAGCATTAGAGTTTACAACCATAGTCGGATAAACTGCATAAACTGCAACATACTTAATTTCCGTATTGAAAATATACAGAAAAAATGATCCAACATTCACAAAATTTGGAACGTTAAATGTCAAAATGGTAAATATTTGTATTGTTTTATTCTCTTACAAACTTATTTTCAAAGCTTCCATAACAGTCTATTCATGCCATTGCGACAAATGCATTGCAACAAAAACATGTTCATTGCTGTCGTTGAAATAAAACAATCAAACGTTAGCGACACAATTTGTCGAGCTTTTGATATATGTTTTGTAGCTTATAATTTCAATATGTCCTTATATTGTTTACAAGTACTGACACTGTTGCTATTTCTAAGGAAATTGGTTAAATATATTCTCCTGAAATAGTATGTGAAATAGTATGCTACACGTAACCAGGCCGGGCACCTTCACTACAAAGAAACATATCATATTTTGACAATATTTCTGACCAACAAAATCATCAAAGATAACTATGATCATATTTTGACCACTTTGTGATGAATACAAAAAATAGTCACAAAATGGTTAGAAAATTTTAACCAAATCATATCATCAAAAAGTGGTAAGAAAATATATCACATTTTAACCACATTTCTGACCACTAAAAATGGTCAAAAATTATTATGACCAAATTCTAATCACTTTGTAACGAATAAATAAAATGGTCAGAAGTTGGTTAGAATGTTTTAACCAAAACAAAGGGTCAAAAAGTGGTTGGAAATTTGTGGTCAGATTCTTACCATTTTCTAACTATATCTTTAGTTTAACCTAGATCTCAGAACTTCTTTTTTCATTCTCATTTATTAAGTTTTATCCCATGCGGCTCCATTCTCAAACAAGCTTGTTGCTTTTAATTCCTCTGCTTTGATCTTATCAACTAGATATTCGCCACGGGTTAAAAACACAAATCATTATCACAGATTCTATAGAAATCAGCTAAGGCATCTATTTTTTTATGTTTCATGTGCCTGTTTGGTGGATTTTCATCATATGGTCATTCAGAATTCCTTCCTAGATTTTATCGTTCAAGATGTAGAGCTTCTAAGCTAGTCGAGAGAGACACTGTATCTTTTCGAAAGGATGAGCTACACAGTAACTGCCAAAGCACCAAATTAGAGGTAGATATCATCATTAGTAAATGTACTTGGATGCAGGGCGTCTCATCATGCAAGCCTGACTAGCTATGAGCTGCTTGCTTTGATCATTTAATAGATTGTTTTTCAGATGAAGACATACGACATCTTCATATTAAGAGTACAATTCTTGTCACTCGTCTGGCAATTAAACTGTTTTTTTTTTCTCAAGGATCACATGTTAAATGTAAGTGCCACTCGTATCAAAACTCAGAAAATAACATATGGAGTTTTTGTTGTTTAAAAGTATGTTAAGAGACTTATAGGTCTTTTAGTGAGAAAGGTGATATTATCAAAATTCATTTGAGAATAAAATAAAACCGCATATCATTTGAATGCACCCTCACCAAACAAAAGACTTCCAGAGCGGTACAATCCTGCCGTTAGTACAAACCTTGTGTAGTTCTATCGTACATAAACGAAATTAAACTAGCTAGACGCGTTACATTGACCCTAAATAAACCACCTGCAACCCACAAACCAGGTTACTTATTTATCTACTACAGAATGTTGCAGCGGACACTACTACAGAGTTACTAGCCACTATCACTTGGTGAACTTGGATTCATCGATTTTGATCCCTTCTTCCTCCGCACGCTCTCCACCAGATTTATCCTTCGTACTGAGTCCTCCTTTACGTCCCATCTCCTCGTAACCCTCCGTCCCTAACTGCTCCTTTCTCGTCTGCCCTCCCTTGCTCCTTCCTGATCATATATGTGTACACATTTCATTAAATTATGGAGACTACTTCATATCATCACGTTATATTTGATAGAACCACTTGAACATTAGAGCAAACATTCGCTTATATTCACGTAGTACATTATCTTATATTGAAAATATTAGTTACGTCCAAAAAGGGTCTACCTCTAGAAACATGTACAAGGAGCAACCTAAAAAGAAAAGAGCCAAAATTGTAGATTAAAGTACCTTCGGCGAGATGTTCCTGAGCTTCGACGCTTTTGCCGCCGGTACCACCAGGGACGACGGTCTCACCTTGCCTGGCCTTCTCATCAAGCTCTTCTCGGCTTTGTTGCTTTGATGCCATGTCAGAATAAAACGAACGATATATGTATAACTAAGGATTTAAAAGTTCTCTTGCTTGGTTTTATGCTCCGACATAGATACGGACGACGTAATGTTCTTATAAATAGAAACATTGTAGTTCCAGGAGGAAAGGAAAGTTGAGACACGACGTGGAAGTGAACACCCGGCGAAAGTGGGCTGTATGGAGATGACACGTTGATGCTTACTCAGTCAACTTGCTACAGTTATCAACGAGCTGCTTGACACGACTACAGGATTTAGCTTAATGCATTACCTGTCTCCAAGACATCAAAGTGGACCCCCAAGGTTAAAGTGTTTATAACTTATAAGAAACAAAGATATACTCTAGAGTCGGATGGCGTATCATGGAATATCTATTATTATGTCAATAAATGTTTTCTTAGTAAACCATATCGATTTATGCAGTATCCAAATGTTTAACGAGTTTTTTTTTTTTTTTGATTAACTTGAAAGCCAATTCAGAATTTGCATATGTATTAACAAGAGCTGAAGTTCAAAAAAAGAAAGATCGACTTGAAAGTATTTTGATCTATGGAAAGACCCATATTAATATCTAAGGAAGTGTAGTTAACGGATTGAACATTTTTCCAAATATTTGAAGTCTAGAGCATGGTCTTCTATCCGCCCATATTAATATTTAAGAAAAATGTAGTTAACTGATTGATCATTTTTCCAAATATTTGAAGTCTAGAGCATGGTCTTCCATCCGCATAACCATACAAATTGGGTGTCGTGAGGTTTGATTCGAATCCGAATCGCTTAGCTTTCTACAATCTATTATCTACCATTAAACCACTTCTATAGAGTTTGGTTATACACTTTATAGATAAAAAGGATAAAAACACTAGCTACTAACTACATGTATATTTAAACCAAAATGTGTTATATATAAACATAAAATTTAGTTTTTATTGGAAAAATAAATTGATTGTAGAATTTAATGTCCAATAAACACGTTCACTACAAGAAAACATATTTTTTACGAATTCATTGTTAATTCGTCGTATTAATTCGACATAATATGACCATTACGACGAATTAACAAGGAAATCTGTTTCATTGTTAAACCTCGTCGTAATGGATTTTTCGTCGTAAAGTTCACATAACGTTACGACGAAATAATGTCGTTGTAAACGACAAAGAACTGTTCGTCGTAAAGTCCACGTTAACTTTCATCGTAAAATCCTTACTCTACTTTCTAATAATGTACTCGTAAACATTTGATGTTAACTCCATGTAAATTTACGAGGAATTTACTAGTCTTCCATGTAAACTCGTAGTAAATTTTTACGAGGAAATTATTAAGAATTCGATATTAACTCGTTGTAAAATTTACAAGAAATTTACTTGGCATTGATATAATTTATACTTTTTTATAATTCTTATATTTTTATTTATAAAATTTGAAATTTAAATTATAAAACCAAAAATTTTAAAATTCATAAATAATATATAAATTTATAATACAAAATGAAACAAAATTAAAAAAAAAACTATAGCATGTTGTTGCCGAGGTACTCGTCGGGGCGAATGGATTCCGGGCCGCGTCGACCGGTTTGACTCGAGAGGATGTTTCTGCATTCCAAGAGCCGATCGTCTTTCATTCAACGCTCTGTGCATAGCTGGGTTCCCGGTCGCCATAATGTCCAACAGATCTTTAAGTGAGTCCAAACGCTCTTGTTGGGAGTCCATGCGAGTCCGCATCTGAGAATTTTCCTCATCCGTCTCAAATTATATGAAGAAGTTTCCCTTGGAACTTGGTTGAAGGAGCCTATTCCCACTATCCGTCCCTTCTTTGTAGGAGCCACCTTTTTCAAAAAAAAAGTTATATAATACATTAATATTTAATTATATTAATTATATATATAAGAGAATTAATATAAACAAATTAAAATTTATTTGAAAATTTTACCTCTTCGAATATCCGATCGACTTCTTCTGTAGTCACTGTGACGGGTAATCCATCAAGAGCCTGTTGGGTTAGCTATGTCTCCCGCTCCTCAATCCGAGAAACCACATCGTCATAGAGTTTCTCAGACCGTGAATCCACAAAAACTCCATCTAGTGTGGCATCAGTTATCCTGAATAATTCAGTCAGAGATGGCATGACTCCAGTCTTCTCGGCATACAAACAAAAAAAATTATTTTAAAAAAATAAAATTAATTAATTAATAAATAAAATTTAAAAAATAAGTTAAATATTAAAAAGAAAACTTACAACATCTAGACGAATCCCGGCGTGAGATGTTTGGATGGATCTATGAAGCATGGATTCATTGCCGTATTTATCCTTCGTTCTTCGGGAAGGTAGGCTCCAATAGCGGATGAGACCATTCCATACAAAGTTTGAGATCTCCTTGGGATTCGCTTCATAACCGTATAGTTCCCACTTGTCCTTCCTATCCGAAATGGTGTTGCAAAGGCGAGTCTTGGATTTTTCTACAAAAGCTTTCTTCACCTTCTCGTTGATCGATAATGACCACTGCCACTTTTGCTGGAAAAAAGAAGAAAATTTTAAAATATTAAGAAAAATATAAAATTAAATATTTTAAAAATATTTGCCACAAACATTTTAAATCACGTTATCTTCACGTGGTCTGGAGTCATACTCCAGTTCAGATGAGATTCGAGAAAATATCCCTTCATCGTGTCTGAAACACTCCGGCTGACGCGGTTATTTGCTCCAAACCTGAAAATAATATCAAATTATTAGAACAAAAAGATAAATTTTTTTTTTTAAAAAACCTAAACTAACCACCTAAACTATTTACCTAATTAACAACCTAATAAACTAAAAAAAAAGAAAAGGAAAGAGAGAAACTTACATTAAGATATAGAGTAATTATATTCTTCGTAAATTCGTCTTAAACTTACGAGGCCTTTACCATGTCCGTGTGTTTTATTACAACGAAGTTACTAGGGCCATGTTTTTATTACGACAAAGTTACTCGGCTCGTGTTTCCATGCAGTTTTAAGGTAAATTATGAGCCGTTTTAATATTCATCATCCTATCTGTTAGAGACAATTTAGAGTGACCTTCTCTACAACCAGTGTAAATTGGTTGATTTGCAGCATCTAGCATTTCATTAAACCTTTTTGCATACAAATTAGGTTCTTCAAGATTTCCAGTTTCATCAGCTATAGTTGTAGTAGTTTTTAAAGATGCATCAGTAATCATGTCGTGAACCCTATCATAATCTACCATCTGTTCAGCAACCTGATTATATTCATTATGAAAATTGTTTGGTTCCTCATTATTACTGACATTCTGAAAATTACTATTACTATTACTACTACTAGCTTCATTTCCTTCATAACCCTCTACATGTTGAAACCAAATATAGTACTATGGTGTAAAACCTATGTATACTAAATGTTTCCACACAGTTTCAGTACGGGCAGATTTTGAATTCTTGCATTTCTGACAATGACATAACATCTTACCACTTTCCTGCGTGAGCGGTGTACAGCCTGCCTGGTTCATGAATGTCTCTAGCCCGCTAAGAAATGCATTCGTCACTCTACCCTCGAAATCTTTATGTGTATACAACCAACTCCGTAATTCGAAAATATTTCTTCCATCGGACATTTTTTTAGTTTTTTTTCTCTGTTTGTGTGTTGGTATAGAATGAGAATTCTCATATATATAGAAATCCTTCGATATTGGCAAGTGAAATTATACTAGGTATTTACAAGGAAATATTTACGATGATTTTACATGTCCCTAACATCTAAGGTACAACGTATTTACAACAAATTAAGTTAGGTGAACCACACATTTAAAGTAGTGTGCACCTACCAAGGTTCGTCCTAATGCACTTGTAAATTTACGACGACCTTACAACGAAAATAAAAAAATGGTTAAAAATTGGATTTTTTTCCAAAAAAAAAACTAAAGGGAGTTCACGGTCATGGGAACGGTCTTATCAACTCCTCATAGCTATTCATCGAATTCTCGAGGAAAAAATACTATGCGGAGTTGATTAGAATTGTTCTGGTGACTCCACGCCTTTCAATTTCTTGAAAAATCGATACATAAGTTCTCAGAATTTTTTTCTTTGATTTTTTTTTTGTATTTGTTTGTGTGTTGTTTGGATCGACTAGGAATGACATATATATAGAAATTTTTTGACCTTGTTGGTAAAGATTTAACAACGAATTTACAACTCTTTTACATATGATTCACAACGATTAAACAACGAAAGTAGTTAGGTTAAGAAAACGTTTTTATTTACTATAAGAGTTAAACGTTTCGTCGTAATGGGTTTATAATTTTACTTCCGTTTTACAACGAAGTTTCCATTTCCTAGTACACTCGTCTTAAAATAACATGAGAATTACGACGAAAGTGTTTCCTTGTAATGTTACAACGACTTTACGATGAATTTCATTTTCCTCATAAAGTAGTAGTAAACTACCCGTAAAATTATGAGAAAGTATTTTCCCCGTAATTCTTTCTCATTAAGTACGTATTTTCTTGTAATGGTTCAACCAATGGCTAAAAGTCCTATTGATTCCACAATTTGATACCAACATTTTTACCACCAAAAATATTTACTCTATTTTAAAATAGTTTTTTTTCTAAATGCACACATCTATACTATTATTTAAGAAGTAAATTTGCTTAGTTGTTATGTTCTCCATAAATTTAGGTAATTTTATTTTTTTATTATATTTTTAATATTTATATATATTTTATTTATAAATAAACCAAATTTATATGTATATAGCATATTTTTAGAAAATAAGATAATTCTTGTGAATTATGTTGTTATCTTGAAATATATTTTTATATATAAAACAAAATTTTAAATTAACATATAAAAACTATAATATTTATCTAAAAGGAATTTATATTAATAATTTAATATTTAAATATAACTTTAACGAATTTATATTAATAATTGAATATTTTCTAAAATAAGATAATTATTATGTATTATGTTGTTATGTTGAAAATATATTTTCCTATTGAAATAT